TGGAGTTGGACATGAGGCAAACGGCACGTAAAGGCATGGCTAAAGTATGACGTCATTGCCTCTCGTATTAGGCATGGTAAACATATGGTAGTAGTGTATATAAGTAGAGTAGATTTCGTCTTGTACCCCAGTCTTCGAATTCCATCATCTTTACGATATCTTTTCACGGTGCTTCTTGCTTGCCTTCACTGGCCAACTGGCATCCTCTGAATTGGTGTTGTTTGTGACATAATTCGAAGACTACCCTCTTACCCTCGTACCTTCCTACCTCCTACCACCTACCCAAACCACTCCCCTACCCCGAAACTATTGCCAATTTTCCTCCCATCCCTTTCCCACGCCTCTTCCCTTCTGCTTTAGGTCGTCTGCTCTAGGTCCTTTTGCTCTAGGTTCTTTTCTTCTTGGCTAGGTACACTCGGAGACGACAATCCAAGGGACCCACTCGAGAGGACACGCGCCGTACTTGCAAGAGAGACGTCTGGCCCAACCCAGGTGCTTTCGTAGAGTCATAGCTGCTACAAGGAGCGCAGGGGCAATCTTCGGAGAACCCTAGTTCGTCCAGCGCAGGGTGTGTCGTAGAAGGCCCCGGTGGATTCCTCTCACGCAACAGGTCTCTTGGACCCCCGACAACGGACTCTCCGGTCCATCCTCTGTGGCGCTCTCCGCGCTTTGATCCCTGACCTCTCGTCAGGGGCTCCTTCTGAGGAGTCTTCAAGAAATTCTACACCCCGTTCTCTCTCCCCTATCCCCTCTCCATTCAACCACTTTTACCTCGACTCTCTTCCTCCTTCCCCAATCTCCGCCTTGGCCACTCTTGCCATTGCTCCTACCCCTGCAACCGTACCCCAACCAACACCTGCACCCGCACCCCAACAACCAACCAACATGTCCCGCGTCGTACTTGCGAACCCCCCTCCTCTCTTCTCTGGCGAGAAATCGCTTTGGGAAAATTTCTACGATTCCGTCACAACTTATATTGCGGCTTACGCTGATGCGCTCGATACGGATCATAAGCGAATTTGGTTCTTGATCTCGTACCTTCGATCTGCAGATGCTTCCGCATGTACGGCAGCTGACTGGGTGCGCAATTGGAAAAAGCGAACCCTTAAGAATGGTGTGCTTGCGGCCACCTATACATTCGACGATCTCATCGCGGAGCTGGAACTCTCATTCAAGGATACGAACATCGCACAGGCAGCGCATCTGAAGCTGACGACTACTCGTCAAAATAAGATGTCGCTGACCGACTTCTTCCAGTCTTTTGAATTACTGGCAGAACAGGCTGGCTATAGTCCCAATGCCAAGCCTTGTGCATATGACGCGTTCCTGATTCAGCTTCTTGAGGAGTTAGTCAATACGGAGATCACTGGTCCTATCTATGTGGGAGGCACTGCCCTGCCCAAAACCTATTTGGAATGGAAAGAGCGTCTGATGCAGATCGACGCGAACTTGTCTCGGAACAGGCTGCGTTTGGGCCGCCGCGGACAGACGTTTGGTTTCATACCTCAATTCCAACGTACTCCGCCCGCCGCCCCACGTGCCCCAGTACCACAAGCAGCCGCGCCTGCTAAAGATCCCGATGCCATGGATGTCGACCGCGCTCGACAGAAGTGGAAACCCTTGCGCTGCTTCAACTGTGGCAAAATTGGTCACATTAGTCGCAACTGCCCGGACCCCCCTCAGAAGAAACTCAGCGTTAGGGCCTTGATGGCTCAAGTTGATGAGGGTGACAAGTTCGATGGCACGTTAGCGCAGTTGATCCAGAAGTTGCGCGAGGCGGGTTTTTAAAGCGCTCCTCTCTCCTGGCCAAGGAGACGGAGCGATCCGAAACTATTGATTCGAAATATGGACGTTATTCCCCTCTTAGTAAATTAAATGCGACTTGCGATATGCCTGCTACGGACTCTTTTTATGGTACCGACTCGGACTCATTACGAAAGGACATACATGAATTCCTTTACAACTCTCGTCGTATCCATGTGTTGCAAAATCAGAATCGTCTTCATAACTTAAAGAAACAAAAGCGTGCTGAGAAAGATGAGTGGTGGACTGAGTTCCAAAAGGCCTGCGGAGAAAAAACCGCATCAACAAAGACTGAGAGAGGAAGTGAGGAGGCGGAGGCTGATGTGACTGTACCTCCAGTCCCAGCGCACACTAGGGTTCGAGACTCTATCCGGATGCAAGAGGCTGCTGCGCGACAAGCTAGAGCCAAGCCAGATCGTCTTAGTCAGGAACTGAAAGACTTTCAACGGGAACGTAAACGCTATGAGATGTTGGTCCCAATAACTCTCATGGTTCCCGAGACTGGCAAGGTTCGCGCAATAAAGGCTTTGCTTGACAATGGTTGCACAACGACCTGCATTGACCGAGCATATGCCCAAGCTGAAGGATTTGAGTTGAAAGAGCTGGACTCTCATATTATCGCCCGCAATGCAGACGGCACCGAGAACACTCATGGCAAAATAACACACTATGTCGAACTACGCATGGGTGTTGGAGATCATTGGGAAATGCAACGCTTCCTTGTCACTGGACTGGGTAAAGCCCATGTCTTCATTGGATACGATTGGCTTCTCAAACATAACCCTGAAATTGACTGGCGCTCCCAAAAGATCAAGTTTTCTCGCTGCCCTGTTGAATGCAATGCTCGTGATGAAGAGTTCCAAGCCGACCCTGATCTGGAAGAAGGAGAGTCGATCTTGCTCGTGGACTTTGGTCCAGCAGTTGATCTCCGACTGAAGGAGACCCAAGCACAGCGAATGGCAGAAGAAGCTGGTCGAAACAAAGAACGAATGACCGAGGAGAAGATTCCCAATCAGTATCGAGAGTTTGTCAAAGTGTTCGCTAAAGAATCATTTGACTCTCTACCTGAACGTCGTCCATGGGATCATGCAATCGAACTCAAGCCAGACTCTAAGGCTGTAGATTGCAAAATCTATCCTCTGTCTCGTGATGAACAAAGAGAGCTCGACAATTTCCTGGAAGAAAACCTAAAGAGCGGACGCATCCAACCATCAAAGTCACCGATGGCGTCTGCCTTCTTCTTTGTCAAGAAAAAAGATGGTTCTCTTCGACCTGTGCAAGATTATCGGAAGTTAAACGAGATGACGATTAAAAACCGTTATCCTCTGCCCTTGATCTCTGAGCTTGTCAATAAGCTCCAAGGTGCCCGATACTTCACAAAGCTTGACATTCGCTGGGGATATAATAATGTGCGCATCAAGGAGGGGAGACGAGTGGAAGGCAGCTTTCCGAACCAACCGAGGACTGTTCGAACCCTTAGTCATGTTCTTTGGGCTTACCAATTCGCCGGCAACATTCCAAACAATGATGAATGACATCTTACGTGATCTGATCAATGAAGGACACGTTGTCGTCTATCTTGACGATATTCTTATCTTTTACGGATTCACTGGAGGAACATCGGAAGATTGTTCGCCAGGTGCTTGAGGTTCTCCAGAAGCACAAACTCTATCTCAAACCCGAAAAGTGTGAATTTGAACGCACTGAGATTGAGTATCTGGGAGTGATTATCTCGCACAACTCAATGAAAATGGATCCCGTGAAGATCAAAGGTGTCATGGAATGGCCGCAGCCCAGAACAGTAAAGCATGTGCAAGCTTTCTTAGGGTTCACCAACTTCTACCCGATTTATTCGAGGCTACAGCGAAGTGGCTCGACCTTTGACCAAGCTCACTGGCAAAGGCGGTTGGACTTGGGGACCAGAACAGCAACAAGCCTTCGATGGACTGAAGTCGCGAATAGCTGAGGATGCAGTACTGGCACTGCCAACGGACGATGGAAAATTCCGTCTTGAGGCTGATGCTTCTGAAGGTGCAATTGGAGCCATTCTTAGTCAAGAACAGAGTGGCGTATGGCGTCCCGTTGGGTTCTTGTCACATAGCCTGACGGAGACAGAGCGAAATTACGAAATCTATGACAAAGAAATGCTCGCCATCATGTTCGCGCTGGAAGAATATCGTGCCATCCTCATGGGTGCTAAGGAGACGTTCGAGATCTTCACTGATCATCAAAATCTCGAATATTTCAAGAAGCCCCAGAAGCTGAATCGCCGACAAGCCCGATGGGTCACTGAGTTGTCACAATATGACTTCACACTGCACCATCGACCCGGAGCGCTTAATCGGAAGGCTGACCTGCTATCTCGACGGGCTGATCATGATCAAGGAAAGGACGATAACAAGGACGTCATTCTCCTAAAGCCAGAACTATTCAGAGCGACTCAAGTACACTTTGAGGGACCAGAAGACGATCTTCTTAGTCAGATCAAATCGACTAGAAGATTAGATACCAGTGTCAAATTGGCCCTTGAAAAGTCGCTGCCTGATTGGCGAAAAGATGGCGACCTGATCCTTTACCGAGATAAGATCTATGTGCCTCGAGATGATACTCTTCGTGAACGGATCATTCGCTTGCATCATGATACCCCGCTTGTTGGACATCCAGGAGAATATCGCACCCGTGGCTGTAGCCTGATTCAATCAGCCCTGGCAGTTGCCACAGTATCAGATTTCAAACAGACTGGCACAGCCAGCGGCCTGGCAAAGCCACACATATTTCAACCATCTGCCTGCCGGCCCTGTGATTGATATTGATTCCTTGTCATTGTGCCGATCCTCTGCCGTTTGTCACCCAAATAGTTTTAACACAACCTTGAATTGGTCCTAAAGTACTGCCTAAACTTGGTGCGGTGCTGGAGCTACAAACAACTCCACTAGCACTGGCTAAGCCACTCCCTCCCTTCACCTAATGTTGACAATTCCTCCAAGCCTGTGACCAGCACCGAGTTAAAGACTCTCGCTGGTTCTTCTGCGAGTCGTTCTTGCTCGTTCGCGGCAAAAGCCCTCGTGATTGTCACGCTTGCGACAGCTGGCACAAGTGATTGGAAACTTGAATAGAATTCAGGACAGCGAGCGATACAACAATGATACCAAGTCGTTAACACAAACAAGCAAGCAAACACAATTCATATGTCCGTCTCAGAGAATCTGCATGTCATTGTCTGTAAGTCCATCGAATGCACCATCCAAAACACCTTCATCCTCCTTGACAACGGCTCGGACCGCATTTGCAAGGGATCTACCCCATTCGGAGTAGAAGCGCTCGGCCATCCGTCGATGAATGTCTACCTGCCGCAATGCATAGGCCCGTAGGCCTGCAGCAACATGCATGTTGACGTCGTCCCGTTGCCTGTCAGCACGAACCTGCCACTGATTCTGCGTCCATCGGAGCGACCGCAGGACTCGCTTCATTTCCTCTCGCAACAATTCGACCTCCTCCTCCCATCGCTGCTTACGAGCGCGAGCTTTTAGACCACTCAACCCGAATTGCTGTAATGTAACCGTTGAGTTAGAAAAGCGGAAATGTTGGGTCCCACTTACAATCATGAACCTCGCTGCCTTTGTTGGACCCATGCCAAATCCAAGAAACCCGGTTCGTAACTCGGCGGGTGTTCGGCTCGCTGCGTGTCTTTCTTGACCCATCTGCTCCATGAAGCCGCTGCGTGGCTGCTGCATCGATCTCAGCTTCAAACCGACAATTGATATCCTCGTCGTTGAGCCTTTTGAACTCAGGCGCAAAACCCGGTCCTTTTAGAGCAACGATGGCGGCTTGATTCGCTCGATAAGCTGCCACGATCCGAGCTATTGCCTCTGCCAATCGCGACATCAACGTCGCCGACCTTGTACGTGCTCGTTGCCCAACCATATGGCGGTCACGAAACCATATCATATGCATTTCGATAGAGGCGAGTTCGCAGCGTTACGAGGGCATCTGCACATTGCCCACACCGAACTCTGGCTTCTGTTTCGATAACGCGCGAGAGTGTAATTGACCGGCGCTGCTCGGCCGTAAGATCGGAGGGAAGATATAACTTGATATATTCAGGCTGACATTCGGGCTCGTTCACGTCGCGTTTCGCATCGTCAGCTTCGCGCAGAGTTTCAATGCCAGGCATGTAGGTGAGTTGCAGATGTTGAAACGAGCGCAATTGTTTGAGAAAAGACACTCGGAGCTCTTGAACTTGGCTCGCACGGTCGGCGGTCAAGGTCTTGCTCTTAAGAGTCGCTTGAATCTTCCGTCTAACAGACAGACTTTGAATTAGATCAAACCTTCAATTGAGAAACACCACTCACTGTATGTGTTGCAATTGTAATCCAGCTTTGATGAATGCAACCACAGTCTTCGTCCCCTCCAAGAGCGGTGCATGACCAGCCCGAGCTTCTTCGACTTCAGCCTTCTTAAGCTCGTCCACGATTTGACGTTCACTCGGTCCATCTATGTGAACTCAATCAATGAGTTTCCAATCTACGCAATAACAGACCTTCCTGCCCACCAACTATGACAAATGGGCTAGCGTTCGACGTCGGATCCTTGTACCAGGCATCCATGCGACTTTTCCACTCTTTTCTTTTCTTGCTAGAGATGCTCTTGTCGAACTCCGCGAATTCAATGCCTTGCACTCGTCGTTCAGAGATGGCGACAATCAAGCGCCGAGCAAGTGTCTTTCCTGGGCGAACATCGTCAGTGCGAAGTTGGAGATTTCATAAATCGGACACTTGCCTAAGTGGATGTTTTTCTCGAAATTCAACTGATCGATGCGATCCTCCAAGACATCTAATCGTGCGCCTTCCCCATCTCCTTAGTCGCCCAGCTTGCAGGATTGAGGCTTGCCCAAACGCGCTCCATTGCCTCCCCGTCAGTTTTGCCAATTCCCAGGAGATAGGCAAGGGCAAGTTGCGCTCGACATTGAAGCTCATGGGCGCCAGCATGCCAAACTGGAAGGCCAAACTGGATGTCGACGTTTTGAATTCTGTGGCTAAATTGCTGGTATCCGCATTGCCTTTCCGTATTTTTTCATGCGTTGGAAAAAGTTCACCATCCATTGGCAAATAATGTCATATGCAAACCCATAGCTGAGTAACTTCTCCATCCAGAGTGTGCAGGCGACAATCCAGTCCACATTCGCATATCTAGGGAAGATCAGACAAATAAACAGCTGTGATAAGATGAATACTTGTACCTTTCGCCCTTCTGAAGATCGCCGAGTCCTCTTCGGCGCACTAGACCATGTCGAGAACAGACACAGCCCGCTACCCCGGAGACACGAAGACCAGTCGTGAGACGTGTCTCTTTTTGGAGTAAAGCCGCGAAGGCCACGCAAGAGCTGACCTGAACCTGATTAGTATAATTGTCATTAACGAGAACACTACTTGCGTCTTTCTCCGCCACATAATTCTTGAGGTGTTCCTTGTAGGCCGTCGACTCCACGAAATAGCCCAGTCCTGGTCCTAGAGACGGGGTCGTCACGTTCGTTGGCACGCAGGCGATTCTTCAAACGGAAGTTTGCGTCGATAGAAAGCATGAGCTTATACAGGTATCTGAGAGACGTGAGTTTGTAGATGTGGAGTTCACAGCAAAACAGACTTGTTTTGCTCTTTTCACATTTTGCCAGCCTTCCGGCAAATTGCGACCTTCGTCTGGACAAGCCCAACAAAGGACGGCTAGCCCTCCGGGCTTCGTTGACACCATCCCGCCAGGCTCGTGAGCTCTCCCTGCCCGTTTCATGCGTTTTAAGAAGTCGTACTGCCTAGCCATACGACCAAAAGCCTTGTATCGATCCTGTAAGTTATGCCATCTCAGAAAACAGCAACCATGCAATCACTAAGCAACTCACAGGTGTATCCTCGGTCTGAGTTGGGTCTTGTTGCCTCTCTAATGCACGGATAAAATCGTGTGTGGTGACGTTGCCAAGAGCCCGCAGCAACCGGAAGTGCTCAAGCACCGCAAAGGTCGCACAGGTCGCAGGACTGACCACCGTCGCCGGATACCAACAGTTGCGGTAATTGCTCCACAGTGTCGGTGCCATTGGTGTTGTTGCAATCACAATATTGAACGTCCACGTTGTAGATGCCGTTCATGTCGATAACCACCATGGCTCGTCTGGCGCCAGGGAATGGGCAAACATCTCCATCGTGGCCCAGTTGATGCAATTCTCCGAGGCCATTGACGCCCTCACCGCTAGTTTTGCGGTGATAGAGGGAAACTTCGGGTCCAGAACTGTCCGGTCCATTCCTGAAGGAAGCCGTCAATAAAAGTGAAGGATAGAAAGTGTAATGTAGCTTACTTGCAACGTATGGAGGGGACGCCGAGCATGCTCTTTTTTGACACAACCCTCACAAAGAATGTGGTCGCCGCATTGTTGACAGCGAAAGAACCGATGGTCGGTCTCAGTTATGGGGGCTAAACACAGCTTGCAGTGAGCTCGGCCGCCCAAACCGTCGTGCCGGGCGAGCTCTTCTAAGAATACTGGGGCAATGCGCTTCCACATGAGCATTGGATCATCCTGAGACAGATGAGTGTGTATTATAAGCATTTTTTTTCACGCACAGAATTGTACCGCTTTCGTTTGGTCAGTTCTTCATCAAGAATAACGTCGAAGGAAGATATGGTGGACGCTATGGCGTCAAGCTCCTCTGCGTCGTCTTCAGGAAAGGGCATCCAGCCCTGGAGTTGCGGGTCGGCTTCTTCAACCTTGTGGGTGCGAGGACGCTTTCGAGGCGACAAATTCAGACCAGCTAAGGTTCCCCTTCGTCCATCAACAGACAGTGTGATTTGCTCATCTTGGGGCTCCAAATCGATATTGTCGTCGAAGTAGACATGCCGCTGGAGCGAGTCAGAGGCGCCATGAAGAGTTTTCAGAGAAGAGAAGAAGAATTGATGATTTGATCGGGCCGACAGACGAGTTTGTCATATCGGATTGCAAATCCCACTGAAAACATGAAAAGTTTTGTATTTTTGTACGAAGAACGCCAATGAAACTAGAGAATAGCGATTTTTGTGTATCTAATCCTCAACAGGGCCAGTCAGCCCGGCCACTGCGCAGGGCTAAGAAATCTGTAGAGGTAAATCGCTCCCCCACTTGAAGGTCAGTATCGTCCTTGTTCTGGCTGAGGGGAAGGGGTCCATCGAGATATGCCTTGATTGCTGCGTCGCCTTCGCTCGACGAAAGTTGAGAAAAAGTTGGGAAGGGCCAGAGTTGGAAGACGTCTGGTCACCCGAGACGCGAAATTGCGATGAAGGAGGTTCTGGGCTCGCAGGCAAGGTATAACCCGAAAAGTTACGCGGAGTATTTTCTGCGGCAGGGGTCGTTTGAGTCTGGGTGAACCTGGAGATGCGCGAAAATTCTTGTTGTCCTTTCGCCTGGACAGATGCTGGCAGACTGGCCACATCGAAGCGGCCGACACGCGAACTGGTAGCATTTGCGCGGGTAGGCGAAAGACCCGGGATGGGGCGGACGCGGCCCTCAGCCTCAGCTCTTCGAGTCAAAATTTCCGTATCTGCCTCCACGGCGATGAGTTGCCTCAACACAACGGGGTCTTGGTCAGTCGAGTAAAACGACTCTACAAATGATCCAGTAAGCGAATGAAGGCTAAAGCCGATTTGAAAACATACGCAAGCTGAGACCTAGTTGCGCTTGCAGAGCACGAGTTTCGGCGGTGTCGTTGAAAAAGTCGATGAAGGCCTCAGCCTCCGACTCGGAGGCTGTTAGAGTCCCAGAGTCCTCCGAGTCCGAATCCCCGCAGATGGTCGTGGGTGGATTCGTCGCGTCAGAAGGAGGGCTGACCGGCGAGTCAAGACTTGCGCATTCAAGGTCGCCGCTCACTACTCGGCGGCGTTGGTAGGGGCGGCGTGGGGCTATGGGCGAACAGATATCAGCCGTCATTCAAGTTAGATGTGTGCCAGTGCATTGCTCACATTGGTCAGGGGATCGCCGTCGTGTGCGTCGTGCTGAGTCGAAAGGGTGAGTAAGTACTGAGAGCTAGGTAGAATAGAGGACACGAACAACGGGGCGTGGTCACTGGAAGCGGCGAAGGAGACTTGGACATTTGTTTGGGCGCGTAAGTTTTGGGGCCGCGTTTCTGTTGGGGCGACGAAAAAGCAGATGGCGTGGTTCGGGTTTAAGTGAAAGTCTGTGAACCCGATGCAATCGCCTCATGTGACTGCGTTGTCAGTACGATCGCCGTTGGCGAAGAAAAAAAGGGCCTGAATTTGCCGTACTCGCTTGGGGACTTATCGCCAAATGACGCATCTTGAAAACTGCATGCATGTTGCCAAGTGGGTCTACTAGTCTCGTACTCGTAGCCATCAACCTGTCGTTTTTTCAAGTTGGCCGTCACGGTGACGCTCGCAGCTCCTTCACTCGATGGCTAAGACGGCTAGGAACAAGAACTTATTATTGGTGCGCACCGCAATAGCTGTTAGACGAACGCACAATTTTTTTTTCGCAGTTCCGCATTTCCGGCCTCCGGGTGCCAGGGAAATCCCCCATGGTCAAGCGCTTTTTGGTTACACGCCTCCTGGCGTGCATCGGCAGTTCACTGCAAGGACGCCCATGCCGACCGAAGAAAACCTTTACCGCAGCAAAACGCGTCCCCGTCCATGGACAACGTCGTGGCAGACACCGAGGACTTGTGTGGCCTTTGCCATCGGCTCTTCTCCTCGCCCGTCCAGTGTGTCGCTTCCTTCCTTCAAGTGCTCAAATCCCGACCATGTTGACCACTCTCCAGACTACATCACATCCCACTGGATTTCCGTTGGGTCGACGACCCGTGCGGCCATAGCTTCTGCTGTGTCTGCCTCTCGTTATGGCTGATCGAGAACCACGACTGCCCCACCTGTCATCAGCGAATCCACCATCGGCCTGTTCCCAATCGTCGCCTCCAGTGGGAAATCCGACGCAAGTACTGCCAGCAGTGGTACGATGCGAGCACAGTCGATATGCGATTCAGAGGTTTTCATTTTCCAGCCGAATTCCGTTTAGTTCGCTTGTACCCCCGGGACGAATCGTAGACTGTTGCCAATCTAATATACTGATTGCTGGCCTTGCTTTCTTGCCCGTTTGTTTGCTTCTTACAGACCGATGGCCGGCGCGTGCCTGTTTGTGACCACGTTATCGATTCCTTGAAGTTTGCCACTGACAACAACTTACAAAGCTCAAGCATGTCCGACTTGACCCACGACTCGGAGCAGGCGGCCACCGCCCTTCAGGCGCAATTAGCAGATGCGCAGCTTGAAGTTCAGAGACTCCAGTCTCAGGTTGCCAATATCGAAGGCATCCAGCTCGTCCCACTACACAAGAAAATTAGAAGTATGGCCTTTCTTTTCAGCAACATTCAAAGACGAATTGACCATTTTGAAAGCTCATGCAAACGGGCTCTTCTTCGCCGTTTTTCGGGGCCGAAAGATTGGGGTGGCTGAGGGCTTGTGAGTGCAGCTAGATAAAAGATAGGAACTCCGACTCCAATTGACCGTTTGCTACAAAGCTCCGCCCTCCACCAAGCCGTCTGGGGCTTTCCGGGCATGATTTACAGGTCGTACACCGATCTTGATATGGCTCTCAAGGCGTTGTCCCACGCAGAAATGCTTGGGCTGACTTCCAGCAAGACGATAGCGCCAGGAGAGTTGCATTTACCCATCTCGATGACGCCACTCCCTGTCAACATCGAGGACCTGGATGCCGAACCAAGCCTCCGCCCTGGAGAGTCATGGTATGTTTGCATTGAAGGTATCCGACCAGGCGTATATGCAACATGGTGAGATCTATTGTCAGTCCCAGACGTCGAAGGACACTGATAGCGAACTCAGGATCGAGTCTGCTGCCAACTGGCATGGGATTGAGGGCGGTAGACATAGACAAGCGCAATCGTTTGAAGATGCTCTGGAGATCCTTGCGCGTGCCAGAAAGGATGGGGAGTTGCGGGTATCGAGGGTTGCTTCGACACAACCAGTAGGCAGAACCATTAAATCAGACCCCCTGTTGGGTTGGGTGTACGTTTAACGTGGTAATGGCATGTATTGAATCCAATCTTCAACTTGAAAGTACATCAAGGTTTGCCCTCACTGGCACTCAACTCCTATATCGCTGAGGAAAATAAGGTGTGGGGCTGGCATTGCTCTTGCTTGGAATATGTCGTTTACACGCACTTGTATCGTGCCATTCTCTGACGATTCACGATAATATCTCGGTGTCTACATTGGAGCTCGTCAATTCTGTCCCAGGAAAGAAAATGCGGGAAGACATACGTTTGTCGATAGCGACGGCTTGCCTCTCGACTGCGCCTTCTTCTTCTCTCGTCCTCCGAGGCATCCTTCTGTATCAAACGGTCCCTAGTGGCCAGAGGGTTTGATGTCAATGGCGCCAGGAGCTTCGTGGCTTGGCTTACCGCTGCATCCGCTCTCGTGCTTTTTTCCTCAGCACTAGGCGATTTCTGTAGGGCCAAGGCACTCATATCAGTAATAAAGGACTGTGCTTAGTTCACTGACTTCGTGCGATACTTAGCGCAAGCTTCTCGTCGAGCCACCAATGCAGAGTTGCTTTGGAAAGTTGAAGTCATCGTGGCACAAGTGGCAGTGTACAAACACGGGCCGTGACAGTATGAAGTCAACGAGAAGTGCACAGATTTCATTCAGTGAACTCATTACACAAGCACCGTCGATATGTAACTTCGTAAGGTTCTCCAGTTCGCGTGGTGAATGTTGTAATGGCGGGTTCGCTGGGGTGAGGACAGACTTCGCCCTGGATAGGCTCGCTGTGTCCAAGCTGGTAAACGTAACCGATAGAGCTCATAAGCTCGCGCCGCCAAACAGTCCCATCCCAACGCTACCCAAAAACATTTAGGAATCCAATCAAAACGGCAAATTGGAGGGCTAACCTCGATATATGGGCACACCGCGCGACGAGCATGGTCTATTTTGAAGCAATCCGCGCAGCCATAGAGGCCCGTCCGACAGTAAGGAGTGCAGCAACGATATAGTGGACCATTCGAAGAGTAGCACCAAGTACAATGAAACGGGCCGCCCAGTCGGACTTCGCGGCGCAACTCACGACGTCGAGCGAGGTAAAAACGTGGGTTGAACATAAGTTGACGAAGAGATGAATCTGAAGGTCGGGGGAGGCGACGAGTCTGACGATGCCGCTTGCCCAGCTTGAGAACGTAGAACTCGATCGGAGGAAGGAGTTCCTGGGTTGGATGTAGTAACTTGGCGTCGCCGGCGGGAGGGTGAAGGGCGAATGGGAGAAGAAGCGGTAGAAATATTGTTGTTGTCTGCGCCATTGCCACGGGAGCGCAAGAGGCGATTCCGCTGGTTTCGGCGGACCGGCGAATAGAGCATAACTCGACGAGCCTGCCAGTGAGCGGCGGCGAGGACTTCAAGTTGAAGTGTCTTGAAATCCGTTGCTGATTATATGGAAGTGCAACCTAGCCAGACTGGCGCATTACAGCGGCTTGTAAGAGTTGAAACACTCTTGAATCTAGATAACCCTGTCGCATTGGTGACAACTGGAAGGTTGGCACACTGGCGCTGAACCATTGTTTTGGGCCAGCAGGGTCGCAAATAAATGTAGCCTAGAGCCTTGGAGGTAAAACTAGGCGGGTTAGCCTGAGATCTTCGTTACGCGGAGGCATGAACCGCTCAAATTGGGCAGATTTTGCCGTAAGATCGCGAACAAATTTCACGCTGAGAAAATGATGAGTTTGGTAACCATGAAATGACTTGGCGATACTTGCAAGTTAACAGCGAGTGCGACAGGCTGCGACGCGTCGAGCTCCGCGGGATCGCCTTTTCTGTTTTTTTTTTGTTTCATGTGACCCAATTGATTGCTTCTTTCCGCCATCTCCACCACAAGCCACTCAAATGCGGCCACAAGCCACTCAAATGCGGTTATGAAAATTGGCAATGTCACTGTGGACC